GGCATCGCCGGGCGCGGGCGAGCTCTGGGTGGGTTTGATGTCGCTTGTGGCGAGCTGCATCATTGGCAGCGCAGCCGGGCTGGACATCGGCGCAAGGGTAGGCCTCGCCAAGCGGCGTCATGGGCGACACGATGGTGGCATCGAGGGCGACTTAGGGCCCGTGCCAAAAGGGGAGGCCGTTCGCGACAACCTCGATGCGCCGTGCATCGGCTATCGGCACATCGAAGCTCAAGCCGGACGTTACGAGCGGCTGCGACACCCTGTGCCGACAATGCAGGACACGCCGCCGTTCTTGTGCTCAGCAGTGCGTACTGTACTGACGCAAGTTTTCACCGAGGATGGTGGGGACAGCTGAGCTGCGCGTTGCAGCGCGCCTTGGCCTCGACGCTCCTGGGAGGCGTCTGGCGCGCCGGCGCAGCCTACCGCCGACCGCGGACGAGCACGTCCCTCTCGGCTATAGGTTGTCGCGCTCGCCGAGGCCGAGCAGCCCTCCAGGCTGCCGCTCAGGGCTTGATGCACAGGCAGCGGATGATAGCAGATGCAAAAAGGAGCGCTTCAAAAAAAAAATTCACCGAGGTCCGCGCAGCTGGGTGGCCCCGCAGCCCTCGCGCCGCGCAGATGCCGCGCGGGCAACTCGACCCCCTCGGCAAATACCGCTCCGCATGTCGCACCTCTGAGGTCCTGCCCACCCGCGCCTAGCCCCTCGAGCGCGCTGTACTTGTGCCGGGAGAGCCAAGCACGTCCGTATGCTCGCTGTTTTTTTCCGTTCACTGCTTGCTCGCGCAACCGCCAGCATTTGCTGGTGTTGGGTTTCCAGAAACCGCGAGCCCCCGACGCGGACGAGGGCCGGGCCGCTGCCTCTCCTGCTTGTCGGCTGCTAGCAAAATGGACTGAGTTGCAGCGGACAAATAACCGTCACGGTTTCGATGCTGCCGCCAACTTCCAGTGCGAGGATGACGAGGCGGCTTTCGCTTCGGATCCCAACATCCCCCCCCCCTGCTGCAACCTGCTCTTTCTTCCCACGCCTTTCTACGCCTCGCTTCTGCGTCGCATGGCGTCGCGAGCATCCGCCAACCACAACGATCAAATCCCAGCTGCAGTACATCGCAGACTTGGGTTGCACTCGGCAGCTGCTGACCGCCATGCTGCTATGGGCTTCCTGGCCCCCGCGTCATGAGCGCTTTATGGCTCGCCCTATCCACGAAGCAATCATTGGGCAAGCGCTGACTCTACCAGCGTCTTTGCCACACGCATCGAAGCACCGAACGCAAGGCTGAAGTCTCGGCTTCTGCTTGGACCAGCGAGCAACGCGTTGCGGGACACGTGATCGAAGAGGCTCCCATCACATCGACGTTGCACGTGGATGCATTTCACTGGCGACGAATAGAGACGGCGCATCGGATGGTGAAGTTTTGCATTTGTTGGCAGAAATTCGCCGTGATGCCTCTTTCCCGAGAGCAAGTATTGATGCATTCCAAAAGCGTTGGCATGTGTATCTGGATGATTCGATTCTCTTGGAATGGGTAGTCGAAGGTGACGAAGCGTCTACTCCGCTGCAAGACATGCACGATACACCCTGACCATTTCACAAAGTTTGTGGCAACGTATAAAAGGCAACTGGGGCATTCCTTGGTCTGAACACAAGAGTGTCAGGCACCAACGGCTCGCGACCCGGGAGTGCATATTGAGAAGCGACTGGAAGTCTTTGAGCTGATCTTCTGTTTGTTGAGGCAGGAACAGTTCCGAAAGGCGGGATGCAGTCCAGCGACCGTTTGCTTGGTTGGCAGATTTGGCAGTGCTGTGCGGTTCATGTGTGCGATGACTGCACGCTTGCGAGCCTGGCTGCTGTCGGAAGCCGGGTCTTTACGGTTCTGCCTACACCTGGCGATGTTGTCGTTCCCAGCGTTTCGTCGCTGCGTCTCCGAATGCCTCCCCCATTGGTTCTTCGTACACTCGCGTGGAGGTAGACTTGATGCCTTTGGTGACCACCGTGCCGCGAGCCGCAAGCCCTCGCGAGGGTTTGCAAACGAGCTGGGCCCCACACAGAACGGGCGCTTGGCAGACATGAACGTACATGTACTGAAGAACATAAGGAAACAGCGGACGAAGTACCTTCTTCGTGCAGCCCCATGCAAGCACATCAGTGCGGACCCGAGCGCACGAGTCGCTAAAAACTCTGTCTTTGTCTGTTTTCCTTTACGCCGGGAGAGTCTGGCCTGGCTTTAAATTCGGAGGTGACCGAGATGGGTTGTAACGCGGGCCAACGGCGTGCTGCACGAGGCTCTGTCGCTTCGGAGATGAGTCGTCGGCCCGGGATGGCCAAAGCAGATTCGGATGCAGTGAGCCGCGATTGGAAGAATGCATGTCTGGCACGAGATAAAAAAGCTTCCAATGTCCTAGTCTCGGCTTGTCTGGTTTCCTAGAGACTTGTTCTATTTATGATTATGCAAATTTACATACAGCTCAGCTCTGCAAGGCAGACGTCTGCGACACAAGTGATGCATGTCAAACCCCTTGTCCTGATGTTGCCTTTGTACCAGTCTCGGCATCCCACGGTCGCACATCAGTTGCGTGCGCCACCAGACTATCCTACAAGAAGCTGGCACTCAGAAACATTCCGTTATTCCTTGGCGCCGATGGTGGGGCACACAGGCGGAAGGGGAGGCAGGGGGTGGAGGAGGCTGCGACGTCCGCAGCACACTGCTGCATCAAGCTCGTGGGGGATTCGTCTGCGGGCGAGCCAGCGAGTGTCCTCGAACGGATATCATGTGCATTTCTGTGACCTCGGTGCTAAAGAAAGTGCGCAACCTAATATTCCGTCCCGAGTGTGTCGGTGACCGCCGTAGCCAAATCATCGCTCAGAGGCTGCCACTCTAGGAAGAAACCCAACTCACTGTTGAGACCTGACTATGTCGGGCACAAAGGTGGCAAGTCGGGGACGGCTGGCACCGGTTTCGTCAACACAAATCGAAGTCAGGATGTCGCTGAGGGGAGGGTTGCGGTGGAAGGAGCTCGAAGGAAGGGGATGGAAAGGCCGGTGTCGACATCGGAAATTGCATAGGAATTGTCAGAACGCTGTACTGTCTCCAAAAAGCTGACGAGCAGCCAAGCAGTTTCCGTCCTCGCGCATATCAAACAAGACCCGTGAATGCCGGCAACGCCACGGGCAAATTTGTCATTATCCTCGGCGGCCAAGGTGAACACGAAGTTCGACGGTCTCCAAGGCCGATGCTTGCGGAAGATTTTGGACATCCCTCGTTCTTATGTGAGCGGAGCTCCGAGCTCCCGCGAGCATTTTCTAGAAAGCAGGTGAAGCTGATGCACAAAGTCGCGGTTTTCCCGCCTTCTGCCGTAGGAGATCGTTTTCCAATCACGGATTCCACCTTAAGATCGTCGACGGTACCAAAACCAAAGATCGACTTCTAGACTGCTCAAGCGCATAGACAAGCCGCACGTCGCTGGTCGTGACACAACTTTGTCGTTTCGCTTCGGGAACTGATTTGCCCCATCATGCCCATCCATGCCCATGTATCCTTCTACTGGAGGCTTTCACCTCACCTCACGTGGCAAGCATTGGCACATTTCGGTTGTTTTTCGGCCAACTTTTCCTAGAATGCATGCGCAGTCCCAGTGCACTTGCGAACTAAAACGGTGGCAGTGCTTTTTCCAAGGTGCTCCCTGAGCTTACCAAATCACTCTACACCTAGCATACTTAGCCCACAATGTACCACACACTGCTTGGGGAACACTGTCATCCGTATCCAGCATAACCGGACACACGGTGCATCGCGTTCGGGACCCAATGTTCCAAGTCTGCCCCGTGGGAAGTGTGCGGATTCGGAAAACAAACTCGAAAATGAGACCCTTTTTTGGGGTTTGGGTTTGTGCTGTGCCCTCTTTTAGGGTTTCGGTTTTGCCTACCAAAGTTTTCTTCAAAGTTTAGGGGTTTGGCCTTAAGAGTTTGGGATTTGCCCGTCAATACCTTGGGTTTGGCAGCCTCTGGGTGGCAAACTCGGATGCAGACCCCAAGCCCTCAAGGGAGCTGTTGCTTGGCAAACTTCCAGACCCTATCCCGGATGACACTCAAAGAGAAGATGTTGGCTGACAACCAGCGCAAACGCTAAACGAACACGTGGGTGTCAAGCACCACACCCGAAAAAGGAAGACAAACCCGAAACCCTAAACTGAGAATATGGCCGGAAAACCCCAAACCCTAAACCCTAAAAGATCGAGAGTCTGGTCTAAGACGCAAGGGATCTAGGTTGGTGCGCACTGTAATCCAGCTCGCAGCACGGTTGGATGTGACCAGTGAGGCTTTAGATAAGACGTACTTCAGCAGCTCGGGTAGAAATCTTATGCCGGAAAAGGCGGACGAGCGGCCACATTTGTCGATCAATCCTATATTATACTCTCGTCGCGCGGCTTTCGTAGTCGCACACAGCTGCAAGGCAAAAGTATGCTCATTTTTGCAGAACAGACTGCCAAAACAGCTTTCGCGCCATCATCGTGCAATGCAGCCGTGCCCACCCCATCGTCGCTCGTTGTCGTGTGATCCACCCCATGTTGACGGCATTAAGTTTCACCGTGACGACATCAGATGATTGTTGCTCGTACTGGGGTCCCGAATGAAGGGACTGTGGTCGATCTTGGCGCTATCACTCTCGCTCGAGTAGAGGTTAATGGGTTCATCGTCTTGTTGCTGACTTCTAACCACATCACACACTGGACCAGCTGGTTTGTGCTTGCTGCACATTGTTCGAAACTCGAATCCTTCTCTGTCAGGCTGAGGCGTTATCGTGCTTTTTATGTTCTGGTAATTCACCGCTTCAAACAGCTGTCTACGTCTTGATGCCGCAGGGTTGTAGGGTCTGTTGAAATAAGTCTTGGGGGATGAACTGGGCGACAGCTAGGTGGTCGAGACGTAGCATATGCGCTGCCGAAGATTTGCACCGGCCTGTACCCTAATGCACCTCGTCGCAGAAACAATGCTGAAGCATGTCCTGGCTTTGCCCGGTGTCTTCTTCAGGCGCTCCAGATTTTCCAGTTTCTCATCACTTTGCAGCAGAGGCTCCTACTGTCCAGGAGCACCCGAACACTCACCCGAACTATGCTTGAAGTCGGAACGGCATCAAAACAAGGACCACGTGCAGCCTCAACCGGAAGCAGATGGTGCACAACGAAGAAGAGAATGGACGTGCTCAAGAACAGCACCACCACAATGTCACCTCTCAAGCGGCCCTGCTCAGTAAAATGGAAAGCCATCAGCTACCAACGGCCAACGGTTCTCAAACAGACGCACACATCCCGACAGTCATGAAACAAATTGCTCGCTTGTCAAAAGCGGCACCTTGCAACAGCTGCCCATGTCTTTCAGACCAATACCTGACGGAAGAGAAACTTCAAAAAAGCATCTGCGTGTTTGGGCAGGAAGTGTCTGTGCTGAGCTCAAAGCATCATCGTGCCCACAAGCACTCATACACATCATCTCTGTCCCGCCAAACTGTGAAGCGGTTTGAACTTCAGACTTCGGCAGGGAAAGGCACATGTGCGGCACCCGTCTAGCACTGGCTTAACCCCAGTGAATTCCTGCGGCGTTGCTTCGTTTTTCTCTCCGCGCTGGAGCCACGTCTGCCGATCAGAAACCCCGGCGAGGCCCGAGGCCTGGCAAAGAGAACTCGAACGCCACGAAGCCTCACACCGCCAAACTCCCGCCTTCACACTTTGGCACTGCTAGCCTCCTGAGCGCAAGCGGTCAGTGCAGCGATGCCAGCAAGCAATCTTTGACTCACCAGCCCCTCCGAAGGACCCGAGTCCCAACCCACAACACCGAAAACGCTTCTCTATCTTCTTTCCAGCACAAGGCAACCGGTAATTCCAACGGGCTCATAGGCGCCGCTTCTGCGAGAATGCAAAGGAACGCAGTAGCAGCGGTGGTACGGTTCCCCAGCTAAACCTCAGAAATGAAGGCACCCTGTTCCTATACTGCAGTACTCAAACTTACACAATACAACGCAACACCACCACTGGGGTACCTACTGTATGCTGTCAAATGCAGTCAAGCCTTTTCGGCCTGAGGGGTTTGAGAATCGAAATGCTTCTGCCAGGGGCGGCCCACATGAAGCCGTGCCAAGGACTAGGCCCGTACGAGCACCCGTGGCGGAAGAATCACGCGCTTGCTAACATATACTATCGGACGGTATCCTCCGACACAGGACGTCTCCCGACTCATTGGTCGC